GATAGGCACAATGCTGGGTCCCGTAAAGACCGGAAGGAGGGGCTCTCCGAATGCGTCCAGCGTATCGCGTATCTTTTGGGCTGATTTATCGCACCCAAGAGGCATGGTCGAAGGAGAAGTGCGCAGCTCCAATCGGCCATATTTGCCTCTTGACCAGCCACAGTCAATGATGCACTCGCGCGTGTTCAAATCGACCGCGATGTCGTTAAAAGCATTCGCAATAAGCTTACGAGCATCCAACGAGAGGATCTCATCCACGATGAAGGAAACTAGTTTGGCAAAAAATATGCCAAGGATCGAAAACGGAATGGCCCCGATTCTAGGCATCACCAAACGCTTAAGTGTGCAGGATAGCTGTACAAAGGAAGAGTGATAGGGGCACGTTGTGCTTGACGGGCTTGTCAGATTTCTGGATGAAATCATCTTAAAAGACGAGATGATAACGCCATCATTCAGTCCGTGAGCCATGCCCAGCGATGCATATAAAATATGCTTCCAGGAAACAAACTCTGCATCCTCTATTTGCGCAACCACAATTTCCTCTTCGACCGTCTTCCTGTCTTCACGGTGTTTGCACGCACAGGTTGCCGTTCGAATCTTTAAAATTTTCATCCCCAGCAAGCCCTCGGGCATATACAAATGAAGCCCATTTTTTAAAGTAAGGCTTAAATTAATAGGCTGCACACGGTCACAGGTGCATGCTACATACTTAATGTAGAGGTGTGTTTCTTTATGTCCTCTGCGCGTCGCTTCACTCAAGAGCACACTGGACGCAGTGAGGGTCAAGTCAAAAGGCTCAAAAATGATGTGGCATCCCTTTATAAAGAGGCTTGATGAGCTCTTCACCTTGCGCAAATGAGAGGTGTAGATACGGCAGTATTCTAAAAATTCAAAATTAATCCTTTGGTCTTGAACTGCAGACTTGGAGACGATCTTGGCAAGCATCTGCCAATCCGATATTTTTTTGGTCAATTCCCCTACACGATTACACAATATACAGAGATACTCCCAAGTAGAACGAGTGACGCGGAGGACCACCTCAGGCACGACAATCCCACCGCTTGGTTTCATATCAACTTTAATGGGTGACACAAAGTAAGAGTCACCCGATCGAATGAAGAGCTGCTGCAATGTGCAGCCATAATGTGGCATGTCGGTCAACGACCCTGTCCTTGCAAAGGAAAATACGTT